TGGTGGGTAGGGGAGGGGGACGTCTAGGGCATAGGTCTGGGTGAGGAAGGGAAGGGAAAAGGGAGGTAGAATCAACTGCCTTATTTGGTGATAGCATCAACTGCTTTATGTTATGACAGCCGATAAGCTTACTGCTATTTCTTGATGATTGTGTTCTTTGGTATTCTCGTGTTGGGCTGTTGGCAACAATTTAGCTTTAAAGGAAGCCTTTTTTGGTTTTTGTTTTATAACAGTACTGTTTTTTAATGCTTCAAAATTGGATATCAGACGGTTAACTTGAAAAATGGCGACACCTTGTGCTGTGAGGTCTGTTAGCTTTGTAGATGCCTTCAGAACTTAGTACAGACACTTGATGCCAGCAAATTCTATTGTTTTACTGAAATGATATTTGGATTTCGATGATGAGGGGATTGAAGTCACACCTCATGATTGACTGTGGCATCACAACGAGGATATGATCTGTTAATTTGAGGGTGCCACTCTGTCAAAGATAAGCTTCCCTTGCCATTTGGGAAGTGTAGTATATATGTGAAGGCCCCTGACAAAGAATACATTTACAGAACTAGTTGTTATGTTACTCTCTACTTGGTTTTATTTGTACATTATTGTTGCATAAAGAGAATAGATATGAGATGTGTATATCACTATGTTTTTAAAGAGACATTTCATCACATGACAATGATGATGCTTTTTGCACCATCAATAATTCGGGCATTGTCTTATGCTTGGTCAAGGTTGCATGCCACGTGCTAACCTCACTCTAGGCCCCTCTGTTCCATGAGCATGGACAGGTTGCCTAGGACGCCATGCGCAAGAGGTGGTGTGGAGAAATATGGGAGTTTGAGACTCTGAAGGGTGCTGTAATGCTCTGCCCAAGTTGTGGCAGAATCACTCGTGTAAGCAACTGTCTTTTCCCTCTACGTGATGGCAACTTGTTGCTCACAAACAGCAAAAACAGAGGCATCGGAGGATATCATCCAAGGATGACAATGTGTTGATGTTCATGTGGCATGGGTGCCTGTGGAGCAAGAAGACCGTCGACGCCACTTTTGGGTGCTCGATGTCCCCAAAGCGAGTAGAAACTGACCTTTGGAACTGTGAGGACTTGATTGCACGCGGAGGCGGTCCACCTTGTTTGATTGAGGAGCTGCACACAGGGGTTTCTGACAGTTGCGTAGCCAGGGCTAGGCAACGCCCCGGGCCAACCCTTCAAAGTACACTAGGTACAGCAGCCTGACAGTAGCTACAATGCCTATAATCGCTACAGTGAATGACTGGGTTGGGGAGGTGGGCGGTGGGGGTGGGGAGGCGCAGAATCGTGAAAGGTGCAACCCCGTCCTTAGAGCAGGAGGTGCTGCAACTAAGTGCCTGTAGATGCTTATTGATAGAGGGAGGCGCCCTTGTCTGGGTGACCTCTTCTTGAAAATCGAGTTCTTTTAAATGCAACTGTGCTTATTTACTTGTGCTGCAATGGATGTTTTCGTTCTTCTGCTGATTTTAGGGAGTTGTTAAGTACTTACAGGTTTGTGATCCGTATAATCTAAACATGTAAAAGTTTCATTTGATTGAGTAGAGCATATTTTACTTGGCCGTGTACTGGAATGCAGCAATCACACCAGTTTTTGCCTTGTCTCTGGCAATTTTTTTTGTTCCTTTTTACCCCGTGGACCGTTTCAGGTTTCATGACTGTGAAACTTGGTACTACTATTTTCCTTATGGGATGTGGAAATTACTCAAATTAGGCTGTTTTATTTCTTGTAAGTGTTGATCAGTTGGTTGAAGAAAGTGATACATGAACTTAAAAATCTGGCGTTTACTTTTGTTTTAACTTTTGATTTTGTTTCCCCTTTTCTGATTTGAACTTTCTCGCTTCTGCCCAATGGCAGATGTAACAATCCCGGGTTTTATTGTGCGTATTTTTATTTATGTGAAGCTTTGTATTAGTGATGGTAATATGCTCTCACTTCTTCAGTGCTTATACCCGTGAGACAAATATGCTGAATCTCGTTGGGAGGGCTTTAAGATACTAGATGCAAAAGCACCATCAGCATGTGTCCATGCGTCCATGAAACCACAGCTTGCAAAACATATACATACTTGTTAGTTTCCATAGATGTGTGACTCTCCTTGTCTCTTTGGGGCCTGAATGTTGCATTGAAGTTTCCCTCTTTCACGGCGAAATAAATGGTGTCTTGTAACCTTAGTATTTATTGATATCCTTCCTTTCTAGTGTCATGGAATTTGCTTTTTCCCAGTTGTTTCCGGTATTATATGCAAATTATTTTTGCCATGTGTTTCATCTACCAAAAGGTTGTCTTTAATGTGTTTCACTTTTGATGACTAATTTACTAATCCATCGAACTTGTGTATGGGCAGATCAGCAGATGTGAAGCAGCACCACCAGAACACAGAAAGCAGTTCATCTTATAAAACGTAAAAGGACTTCTTTGGAGGTTTCTATGCAGAGATCTCTCGCTGTTGGCATTAAGTCTGAGAACAATGGCAAGCGGGATTACACTGGAACTGGTACTGTTCCATCCTTGCATAAGCAAGATAGCAAGATACTGACCAAAAAGACCATAAAGTTGTTGGATGCACCACCTTGTCCAAAAAGGCCAAAGCTAGAGCCAACTCAAACCACTAGAGGTGCTGAAGTTAAGGGCCATGAATCGCTGCCACATAAGATTGTTCCTGAAATGGTACGATGCACAGCATCTGGTAAGTTATGAAGTCTCATTTCTTCATCTATGGGTGTCTAATTTTACATAACAGAACTACTCACCAAATGACTCTGCATATGTTAATGGATTCATTATGGACCTTCCCATCAGAGCTTCATATCTTATCTTTTGGCTAAATGTTACCATCATTTGAATCAATACCATGCTTCCATTGCACTTATTTCTCTATTACAGTTTTTATGTTCTTCGGACCTCTGTACATGACCGCAAAGTAGTTTTCTTAGAACACGCAGGAGAGCTGCATATCATTTCACTAAGATGAAGGAAAGGTACAGAGGGGAGCTGTGTATCATTTCGTTAAGATGATATACATGATAGAGTTGGGGTAGTGCTGATTGAAGAGAAGCTTGTCCAACATCGCCTGGGATTGTTTGGGCATATACAACACAGGCCTCCAGAAGCGGCATTGCATAGCGGACGGTTAAAGCGTGATAATGTCGGGAGGTCGGAGTAGACCAAACTTGACACCGGAGGAGTCTGTAAAGAGAGACCTGAAGGACTGGAATATCACCAAATAACTAGCTGCAGAGGTGTGTGGAACTTGGTTTCGAGATCTTTTGGGTTTCAACTCTAGCCTACCCCAACCTCTTTGGGACTGAAAGGCTTTGTTGTTATTGTTGAAGGAAAGGTACAGAGTAGCGGGAATAAGGACCCTCACTCTAACGACCAGCTGACTGCAGAGTCAGGGATAGCCCCATAAAGACCAACTGACCGCAAAGTAGTAATTTTAGTGGTCTTCCTATTCACGTTATATTAGCAGGTATATATAAACCTGAAAGCTGACCCTTAAATTTCAGTTTTTGACTGAGCAAAAAAATAAAGAATAAAAAGGAACGTGTTACACAAATGACTTCTGGAATGATACTTGTGCTGTAATGGATGTTTTCATTCTTCCTATTCACGTTATATTAGCAGGTATATATAAACCTGAAAGCTGACCCTTAAATTTCAGTTTTTGACTGAGCAAAAAAATAAAGAATAAAAAGGAACATGTTACACAAATGACTTCTGGAATGATACTTGTGCTGTAATGGATGTTTTCATTCTTCTGCTAATTTTTGGGAGTTGTTTAAGTACTTACAGGTTTGTAATCCACATAATCTAAACATGTAAAAGTTTCATCTGCCCGAGTAGAGCATACTTTTGCTGTGTACTGGAATGCAGCAATTACCCAGTTTTTGCCTCCTGGAAATTTACAATGTGTACTGTAAGTACTTAAACAACTACCAGAAATTCAGTTTTTTAAGTTCATTCCGCATCAAACAAATATAAATATGGACCAGTAAGTGGCTAATTTATCCTATTATTAATTCAGAAATTTGACTGTTATGTTCTCATGGTCCAAAAAGCTATTGTTTGGTGCATATTTCAGTATTCAACGTGTTAATGTTGTGTCTTCTTCTGGAATGACTAGTGTGTATTAGGGCGAGTTGGCACAAGAGCTCTTGAATTACCCCTCATAATTTGAAATTTGTTAGTACAAATGCGGGATTTTCTTGATTTAGTCTTTCCCCATGATAAATATTGTCAGCAGTGGTTATTTCTCAGCCTTTTACAGTTCCTGATTCAGGTAATAATACCTTTTAATCTGCCATGGGACCAAAAAAATGATTGCAGTTCTATTGGATCAGCATATAGTATACAACAACAATTGCACTTGCAGCACTGCAGAGAGAAAACTTAAGCAAACAGGCAATACTGCACCTCCGTAACTGGGCATGTGTGCACCAATGCAAGATTTGAAGCGCGGAGCCATGACCGTATTTTGAAATTTAGAAGTTATGATGATGGAGACTGGGAGGAGGGGTAGCCGTAGTACAGTGATTGTGGAGATGCCGTACCACGAGTGCGTGCCCCCTGTTGGTTATCTAGTTACGCCTATGTTTAATTAACCTGACTAGTCCACAGGCTCACTGTAAAAAAACTAGTCCATGGATTGGTAACCCTTTAGTTCTCTTATTACAATGGTTGATTACTATGTCGGTGTCCTCCAAAGGGTGGCCTGATTTGGTGGACCGGTGCGTCCAGCGTAACCATTTTAATTATGTTAGATTTTTGCCGCTGTTTTACTTGGTAGGCGGGGCATCAGTGCTTGCACTGGTAACACTTTTAGTTCTGTTACCATTTCTGGAGTATGTTTTACTATTACTAGTACTAGTAGGGGGGAGGAAAATTGATTTTTTAGCTGAGCAGCACTTGCGACCTGGCTGGAGCGCAGGATTAGCATTTTACGCTCACGCTTGCTTTAGCGCTGCCGTATACATATACATGTGATTAATGTTTTTGCCCTTACCTTAATGTTATACAGAAAAATCTGGGTTGCTAAAGCAGAGGCGCATTTCTGATGCGAAGAGAATTGACAAGAAGAATGCTAGGTCTGGTGTCAGATCTAAATATGATTGTTTCACATTAAAGTCTGGTTTAGGAAATCATGATTCCAGTTTCGTGGGAAATGGCATGCTTGGTATGTATTAACTGGTTGCAACTATGATTTTGTTTATCGATGTGTTATACTAGTTATTATCCTTCTCATGCCTTCTTATCATAGTGCAAACTTTCTCACTTACATTACAAAGTTCCACATTTAGACATACTAAGTCATTCTGTATGCATGTTAGCTCTTGATTTGTCAGCATATGGCCTGTACATGATGCACTCGCTATGTTTGGTATGCTTGAGAAATATAGATCTGTTAGTTCATTTGACCTTTCATGAGCTGTCCCTGGATAAAGAACATGATATGCCAGATTGTGGATGTAGATTTATAAGTTAGTTATTATTCTATGGCGTTCACATCCATAACTGATTTTCTCAGTAAATTGATCCTAGATAATGCGGGCAATGAGATCTAGTTGTCTAGATCCTTTTAATTTTGTTACTTGTTTAGTTCTGAGATTTCTGTTTTGTTTCATTGTCGATTGTTTTAGAAACTTCATTTTTAACCTGCAAAGGGCAATTCTTGGTCTTCTCACATTTTAATCATATGATCTAAAAAAAATAAAATCTCATTGACATGGAGTTGCTTTTCATTTTAAGCACCCACCTTTTGTTTTGGTTTCATCTTCCCTCTATTACTTGTTAAAATGATATCCCCTCAGTTCTAATAGAGATGATATTCGACTTTGCAATGGTGTCTGAATGCATCTTTGGCCATCACGGTATTATGAATATCTAAGTATGAGATATACAAAATTATATTGTGGAATGTTTTTTCATGACAAACCTATGGCGTCATTTTTATTTCCATTTAACCAACCTAAATAATTTTTAAATAGTTAGTTTACAAAGATATAGAAGTTTGACTGTATGCTTTGTAGAATGCGTCATCTATTTTAGAACAGATGTAGTGCCGAGTTTCGTTATGGCTGCACACAACTCATTCATGATGCAAATTAGTGTTTGCTCACACAAATATAAACACTAATGGGATGAATGCTAGAATCTTTTACATATTGGTGTTTTAATTTCTTTTTTTCCTTTCTTGAATTTCTTGGTTTTTATACCGTATTTGTCTATTTATTTGGTGGCCGTTATTTATTAAACATGTTCCAACTTGCCTTTCTGTTTCTAGTTTCATTTTAGTGTCAGTTGTTCCATTTTTGTTGCTTTGCATCTCTCTAATTGTAATACCAATATGAAAAACAATTTTTTTATCAGATATGAAAAACAATACTAATGGCACATCTGACCTTTTTTTGTTCGTTCTTCAGTGGTACATGATTTTCTTACTTCAATATGTAGGATTCTGCAATCTGCATTATCATTTATTATAATTCATGGCCGCCAGTGACTTTTGCATCATTAGGCCTTTTCAATTCATCTGATATGACTAGTATAGTATTTTACTATGTGGGTGGTTCTTCAGTGTACATCTTTTTACTTAAAAAGTACGCCGTATGCATCCACAAAAAATCTCATTGTTCAATTTCAACATATATTTATGAATACTCTAGGATGACTAATATGGTATTGTAATGGAGAAAACACGCTATTGATTAATTTTTAGGCCTCTTATCATTGATCACGTATTCTTGCATGTCACCTTACAGTGTTTATCTGTTCATTCAGGGGCACATGGCCTGAAATCTGATATCCGTGACATCACGAATCACATTGAGAACCTGACATTGAGCGAACTTCTCGATGGCACTTACAAATATTCCAGCTTAGGAAGAGAAAAAGGAAAGAAGGTACTGCACACAAAAGATGAACTCCTAGTCTCTGTCAGAAAAGCTTTTTTTATGCTATCTGACATGGACAGTAGTCCTGGAAAAGATGGTAATTTGACTCCTAGTCCTAGGCTGCATTCAGCAACCACCTCAAGCTCTGATATCAAAGATCAGTGTAGTGACAAACCGTCCTCTTTGATTAAGGTAAGTGGAATCAATTGTGTTTAAATCATTAACATGTCTTGAAGCACCTCACAATACCATTTATGCTTATTGTAATACTACTGCTACCCAGGATCCTTTACAAACTGAGGTCTGCAATGTTTGCCCAAAGGACATCCTAAGCCGTTTAACACTTCCCCAAGGACATGATCTTGATTCTCTTTTATCAGCTGGAAGCGAGAGCTCAGCTACAGGGCCTTCCATGACAACTCATGGAGCTAGTTTGCCACCATTTACTTGGTCACACTCACAAGCTGGGGTTTACCGACCGAGCGTTGACTCTGGTAAACATGGGTCAAGTAGGAGTAACTCCCATTGGCAGTGGTTGAGAGTTGGATCATATCCAACCGCTCAGGATTACGAAGATTTACCTGTCCATCAAATTGATGATCTTCTTCAGGAAATGGATATGGCAAAGTCATCTATCATTGATTCATGTAGCAGACAATCTAATTTATGCTGCACGGAATCAACTTCTGGATCCCTCGGACAAACTATTTACTCAAGAAAAACTGAAAGCGAGCATGGTCCGCAGCAACTGCATCCACTAGACCATGTGGGCTCCTCAGATAGCTTCCGGAGGAATGACAGTGAACGTTCTCTTCTGAAAGCATGTCAAGGTATGCTATATCACTTCTTGGTATAACCTAAGATAATGCAATGAATGATATGTAGTATAAAGCCCCTTTGCATTCTGTGTCATTAGATCTAGCTATCTGCGGGTTTTTTAGTGAACCGTGATTACTATTTCATTTGGGTTGCATAGTTTGTATTATCCATTTTTAATTCTTAAAATTTGCTGATTTGCTGATATGAGCTCCATGATCAGCATCACGGAAGATATTGTGCGCAGCTGAGACCCTATGTGATATGAGAAGAAGCACGGAAGGGTGGAGTCCCCAAGTATATAGCAATGGGACAATAAATTTGCCAAAGTCACCTCCTGATAAGGTGAAAGCCCGTAAGCCGTCATCACCGTTTGGTACAGCTGAGAGCTCCTCGGGCTCTCGGAATAGTGATCCAGCTCGCAGCGGAAACCATTCTACCAAGAAAGTGGTCGATAGGAAGAACGATTCTGCTGCGTGCATGAGCAATCCAGGGAAAGGGCTTATTAGGTGGCCTGTTCCTATTGAAGATGCTGTATCTCCTGTCAAACCCGAGAAGGGCCTTATGCTTGATATGAGACAAAACCACAGCAATGCCGCAAGGCATCCGATTCATGTATCGTCTCAGGCACGGCTTGAGAAGGAATACGAGAACCAGCAGAAACTGAGGAAAGCAACATTGGCCTCGTCTCTAGGATCGGGAGACTGGAATAAGGAGAGGAACAGGAGATTGTGAATTGTACATTATTCATGTTGACATCATAGAGGCGATATATTTGTCTGGGGATTGGCGTAAACCAGGCAACTGTTTCATAAGAGGTAACAACATGACATTGGGAGATGCGTTCATTCAGGTGGCGGATGTATTTATTGGGCATTTGTTGGTGGAATTGGTGTAACAAGTGTAGCCTGTCTTCTTTTTACTATTTGCCATCTTATCGCATGTCTCTCACTGTCTTGGTATCTTCTGTTGTTTGCTGGTAATTTAGATTTAGTTATATGTCAGCGGGAGCTGTGGCCTGCGCACGTGCTCCCGCTTTCTCTCCCTTCGATCCTTTTTACTTTGCATATAAGATTTGTTTGAAGTCAAATTTTGTAAAATTTGACCAACTATATAGAAAACAGATTAACATTCACAATATGAAATCAAGTTTTTCATATAAATATGGTAAAACTTTATGAAGTGTAACTTCAGACAAATCTTATAATCTTATATGCAGAGTAAGAAAGATCGGACGGAGTACTATGTGATCTGTGCGTAAGATTCTTCCCACCCCTATGCATTTATACGGGCTGGCTCACCAGAACTGGTTTCGTGACCCCTCGCTGGAAACTGATGCCGGCGAAGTCGCACAACCCACCGGTCATGTTGCACTTGTGAAGCTGGACTAGCTTTGCTTTGCTCCTACCTGTCGGCACTTCAAGCTGAACTAGCCTTGCTCTGCTCGGGCGACCTCCCCGCCTTTGGCTGCTTTGGATGGTGTCATTTCCCTTTGTTGGTGGCGGCCGCACGCTTGGGCTCTGGTGGTTGCAGTCCAACCCATCATTGGCCGTGGCCACCCCGAGCATGCTCGCCCCCTGGCCTTCATCGAGCTCCACCTCATTGATCGAGGATGCTCGAGGTCAGTTGTTGGAGTCCAACCCTTCATTGGCCACGGCCATCCCCTGCTCCACCGACCCCGACTCCCCGAGCATGCTTGACCCCTGCCTCCATCGAGCCTGACCTCACCGGCCACGGACGCCTCGAGCTCCACTGACCTCGAGCATCCTTGGCCGCTGGCTCCCCTTCCCGAGGACAGTCCTCGGCTACAAACCATCTCGGTGAACTCCTCCTACATAATTAGCATTGATACAAATTGATTGCTCGCGATGGTGCCGGCCATCGAGCCGGATTTTTTTGTCAAAAAGACCATCTGTGCAGTGTAATTGATAGAAAATACCACCTCTGAATTAAATTGCCAGAAAAGACCATCTGATTTGTGGCGGCCGTGACGCCTGCCGCCACGCGCGGAGGCGGCAGCCCTTGCCGCCACAGGCCCAGCCGGCAGCTGGCCTGTCACAGGAATCGTTGGGATCGGCGATGGACTGCTGGCCGGCGGGCCATACCGCCACGCCCAGAGGCGGCAGGTACTGCAGCAGCATGGCTGATGTCCCAGGTTGGTTTTGGTTAATCAGGACGTATAGCAAGCACATGCATGCATGGCAGTGCAGGCCCAAAAGCTACAGCGATCGATCCAACTAATGATTATAATACACGGGTGGATGGTTCAGCTAAGCAAAGCTGCACTGCACTGCACGTACCTCTCCCTTGCGCATGCACTCCGGTCAGGCGGCGAGGCGTGATCAGCTCAGCGCAGCGATACTCGGCCCGTGCTCCAGCCGAACTCGCGGCCGCAGCAGCACTGCCGCCTCCTGGTGTGGCGGCGGGGCCCACCACTGATCCCGTTCCGTCTCGTTCTGGCCGCTCTCGAGGATTCCATGTGACAGGCCACTTGCCGCCTGGGAGTAACTAGGTGGTCTTTTTTGGCAATTCGACCCTGAGGCGATCTTTTCTGTCAATTGTACTGGGCAGGTGATCTTTTTTAGACAAAAATTCGATGCAACATTTGGTTGCTCGCGCTTTGCCGCCTTCTTTTTCATGGAATACAAATGAGTGTCAACATTTTGATAAAAATGTTTATTTATTTCCATTTCGTTGAATTTCTGGCACTCAATATGCCCCATTTTAGAAAGGTCTTCCAAATCGTTTTACGAACTTTATTGTTTGTTTAATCGATTACATGGTTAATTACATGTACAATCAATCATTTTTTAGTTACAAGATGGCAAATATTAAAAAAAAGTTATAAGATGGCAAGAGAGACCCCCATATTCGAAGTGGACACAGACTAATGATGAGTCGGTGCCTTCCCATCAGGAAGATCCCTGAAATGCATCATTGCTGATGATGTTGACGAGTAAGCTGGTCAAAATTGCGACGCGGATTTTGGAGAAGAGACTGTTAGAATAAATTCGAGGCACTCACTCGAGGACTAAGCAATCATATGAGCACGACCCCGAGATTTGTTAACGAGGTTCACCGATATAGTTACATCCCGGGACCTGACTATGGACGCTCCTTCTCATGACACCGCTACAATACTGCACCTGGTCGTCCTGGACATCGGCACATGCCGCCGGCTTCCCTGACGTTTCGGTGCTATTATGTTGGCATAGATTAAATCGTGTGTGTCGGGGGTTGGGTGCGACATATGCCAAGGGATGACTTATCATGGTGGGGGCGAGTAGAACGTCGCCGGTGCCCGGAAGCGGGATGATGCGTAGACACGAACGTCGGCGTACTTTACCCAGGTTCGGGGCTCTTCTAGGAGATAACACCCCTAGTCCTGCTCTGCGGGGTCTCCGCATGATCACTAAGGCACAAGTGAATACAAAGGCGCTCCTTGAGCTTTATGCTAGAGGTAGGAGAAGGCAGGGCTAGCTCTCTCCTTCCTCTATGATCTGGTCTAGTTCTAACAGGTTGGGAACCCTTTGCATGGGTGCCCTGGGGGGTTTATATAGGCCTACCCCTCAGGGGTACAATGGTAATCCGGCCGGGCGTAGAGCCCGGCTGTCAGTCTCTTCGGCCGCCGGCCTCTCTGCCGCCTGGTGGGGCCCGCCGCCTGGTGGGCCCCGCCGACTGGTTGGGTACGGGGCCGACAGGCCGTCCCCACCGCTCTCGGGTCTTGTCGGCAACTGATCACTGTTGCCGCGTCTCTAATGATGCAGGCTTGGTCAGGGGGTCGTGGCTACAGCTCCGCCGCCTGCCGGACGGTTACTGTAGCCACTCCGCGTCTCGTCTGGTTAATGGCGAGTGGGTCCCGAGGAAGGGGCGGGCCGACTCCTAGGGGCCGACCTCCCTCGGGTCCGACTGGTGGGATCGTCGCCGTCTTCCGGGATCTCGCTGACTGGTGGGTCCGTCGTCCTTGGGCTGTACCGACAGGCCGTCGTGGGAGCAGGACTCCACCTGCCTGTGATGATGTCAGGGATGACATGGCAACAGTGCTGCATCGGGCGGAGATCTCCGCCGTACAGCGTACTGTGACCACGCCAGCCCCTGGAAAGGGGGGGATGGGCTACACTGTAGCCAATCCTCTTTCGCGTCCCCCTTGATGAGGGCACGGGCTTCGCTGGTGTCGTGGGCCGAATCCTCGGGGCCGACTTCTCTAGAAGCCGCCGAGTAGGAGTCAGCTCGTCTTGGCCTTGCCTCTAGGACTCGGCCGTATACGGGCAGCCGACTGTCCCTCCAGCCGGCCCACAGAAGACGGCTCTTCACCTTGGCATCTTGAGGGGCGCAGTCTGCCCCGATGTCTTGAAAGGTTCTGGGCCTCGGGTTAGCCTACCCGTGGCCCGTTACTCCGACAGTAGTCCCCGAAACTGGTGAGGCGCCGCGGATGATCAGCCGAGGAGCCTCAGCAGTTTATTTCTCCGAGTGCTTGAGGCGGAACCTTGTTCGACTTCAGTCGGGCCGACTGGTAGGAGTCGGACTCGCCAATCTGACTTGTCCAAAATTTTTGAATGCCTCGGCGGGATCAAGGTGACGTGCTAGCTAGGCTTCCAGTCCGCCGCCCACTTCGGGCCTGTCACGTGGCGACGAGCGGCCGGGCTAGTCTGCCCACCCACGCACGCGACGGGACGCGCCTGCAGGCGGGGCCCGCCACTACCACGCCTTGGCACACGAGTGGATCCGCTGCGGGTGCTGTGGGCGGTTGAGGTTCCCGCGGAGTTACCGCGCGCAGTAACTTGCGCGATAAATCGTGGGGCGTGGGGTAGTGGGCACAGTAAATCCCACGACCGCCCCCTTGGCTTCGCAGCCCATAGGCCTATAAGTACGTGGAGGAGGGGGAGCGGCAGAGCACGCGCGCCCCTCCTCCTCACCGCTCCCTCTTTCTTCTTCCTCTCGCCGCTGCGCCCCAAGCTACACTGAGCGTCGCGGTGATTCATTCCCGATGAGCTCCTCTTCCATCATCACGCCCCCCGCGGTGCGCTCCGGAGCATGGGATGGCTCCGAAGTTCACGACGACCATGTTGATTTCCTCCGCAAGACGCGGCGGCTGCCCGGCAAGGATTTCGTGAGGGTCCGCCTCGCGCCGAGGAGGGAAATTTCGCCGGCGCCGGAGGAGGGCGAGCGGGTCGTCTTCCGCTCGCACTGCCTGTGTGGCCTTGGCTTGCCGGCGAGTGGCTTCTTCCTCTCCTTCCTTGAATTCTACGGTCTCTAGCCGCACCACCTCACCCCCAACACGATGGTGCTGCTGTCCGCCTTCGTCACCTTGTGCGAAGGCTTCCTCGGCGTCCTCCCCACCATCGAGCTCTGGGGGGAGTTCTTCTGCTCCAAGCTCGGCACCCACGTTGCAGGCGTGCCGGCCCAGTGCGGCGCGTTCATCGCGGTGCGGAGGTCGGGGGCCGACAACCCATTTCCTCCCATCACCCTGATAAAGTCGGTGAAGATGTGGCAGCGGTCGTAATTCTACGTGAAGAGCGTCTTCGCGAAGGGTGACTGGGTCAACTTGCCGGCTTACGCAGCCGGCCCGCTAGCTGGAAGGCAGCCCAACTGGTTGTACCGGGCCAGGACGCTGATGCCTGCTGGAGCTGCTGCCATCGCGCGACTCCGAGTGTTGACACACTCGGAGGGCTTGACCGGGCCCGACTTGCTATCCGCCTTCATGTCGCGCCGAGTGCTCCCGCTCCAAAGGCGCC